AAACCCACAGGGCATATGTCATGAATGCTTTAAAATTTCCTTCCCCTTCCTTGGCATGTGGTACCTGGCTTATGTGTTGGGGGAGGCAGATGTATTCCAACTAATCAGTGATATCAGAGAGAGCTAGCGTCCAGGCAGTCCTGCTCTGTCAGCCTGCTGGATCCTGCAGCCTCGTCCTAGTGCTCACATATCAACTCCCCCACCCCACCCCACCCCACCCCCCCACTCTCTCCCCCTCCTGCCTCCTTGCTCCCTGTATCTCCAGGAGCTCCCCATCTAACCAGACCCACACCTAAATGCTAGGTCTGTGGTGTGTATCTGCTGGGACAGAGATACTTAGCAAGTGTTACTGGAACTCAATGAGGGTAATTCTGGGCCTCAAGGAGAAAGCAGGATACTGAGGGGAAGTGGGAAGAAATTAGCACATTTTAAAGGTGTGTATGGGGTGAGGGGGGGAAGGGAGGAAAAGCGGAGCACATAAACCTGGAAAAGACTTAGAGTATTATGGGTTGTTATTAAGGAATCCCATGCAGCACCAGTGACAACTTGCACATACACGTTGCTTAGTAGTTAGAGTAAGGCCATATACTTCATCAGTATACTTCATATTTATCGTATGGCTGATATATGAAGTATATCAGCCATATACTTCAGATGATATCCTAGACAGAGCAGATATTGGTTCTAGGTGCACACAGTTGGACCAAAGTGCACAAAATCATGTAGTTACTGAGTGGTAGAATAAGAATCAAATCCAGGCCCCTGAACCCAGTGCCCTTTCTAGAGCACAAGGCAGCCTGTGTGTGGTCAGGTACGTGCACACATGCAGGAGACACTTCAGGGAAGTTAGGGTCATTGGCGACCCGCTAGCTCGGATGCTCTGGGGGCAGGACAGGGCTTTAGAGAAGTGGTTCTTGGCTCCAGTTCCACAATAGAAATACTGGAGGAGATTTTCTTTTTGTCTCACAAGCCCACCCCGATGCCTAACTCCAGAGAATTTGATTTCATTGGTCTGGGAGGCTGGCAGTACAAGTTTTTAAAAGCATCCTGGCAACTCCAGGGTGCAGCCCAGGTCAGCATCGCAGTGCGAGGGGTCCCTTACAGGCACATACTTGCTTCCGTGTCCTTTTATGTCTTCCTCTCCCCAGACCAAGAGTGAAGACTCTGCCCTTCCCCATGACCTTATTCAGCATAGGAAGCTTAAATACTACAATGGGCAAAAGTGTTTCTAATAACCTAGTGCCTGTTCTGAATTTTCAAATTTTCACAAACAGAGAAGCTTCTGAGGGTGAGTGCAAAAGAGTGAGAAATGTTGTCCTTGGGAGCTTGACTGACCCAGTTGCTGGGGAAAATCCCGCAGCTCAGATTATTCCTTGGCAGTAGTTAACCCTCAGATACTTGGTTCCAACTGGATTAGCGCAGAACTCCAAATGAAAATGCAGGGACATTTCAGAAAAAGAGTTATTAAGCATAATCCCAGGTCAGCAAGCCTGGATGAGCAAAACTGATTATCCTGACATATATTATATATAAATAAATACATAAAAACAGTATGTCAGTGGGAACTTTTCCCGTTTAGTGGACCATTCCCTTACAGCAACAACCCCTACCTTCATCCTATAGCAGCTCTTCACAACATTCATGTATACAGAAGACGTGGTTCCACTAAGTACCTAAAGCAAATTTAGAGGAGATTGAGGCCCAGGAAGAAAGCATACCTGGCTATCATTCGTGCAACAGAAATGGCTTAATAGGACCCAACTGACTGCAGTGAGCATCCTGGGCCCCTTTCCTGATTCAGACATAGAACTTCTAGATACTTGTCATATCTAATCTAATGGAAAGGCACAGAACATTTTTAACCCAACAGCAGATAATTGTAATGAAATGATTCTGGCCAAGAGGGCCCATTTGTAATAATGAATTCAAATCAGATTCATAGAAGCTATAATTCAGCCATAGTGAACACCACCTTCATTTCCCATATCATCTCTCTTCCAAGAAGGCAAAATTACTCAATATTCAAATAATTATTTTTACTTTTCAAGTAGCCCTGTGAAGTAGTTATAAGGAAGATAATATTGCCTCACTTATATAAAATGAGTTTTATCTACGTTTGAAACTTCAGTGTCATCTTCGGCACATCACTTCCTAATGTCCCTCAATGCAATCAAAGACCTATCAAAACAAAACTGATATCTCCAAGGAAAGACATCATCCTTCTCTAAGCCGTGCAATTTCTCCTTGGAAAATTCAAATGAGGGACCCACTTCCTGTGCTCCTCTGTTTTACTACTAGGTCTCTGGCCTCCTTTGTGACTTCAGTCAAGATTTAGAAACAGATGTGAGAGATTTTGATCCAAGGTAACCACATTTGGAAAGACTTTCTGTGGCTCATGGGCCTGGGAAGCATTCATTGTTTTCAAGACATCCTGCACATTTGTTGCATTCAGAACACTAAATTTCCAAACACTGGATTCCCAGGGGAACATCTTTAAGGAGACAGAAGTGTGACCATACTTAGAATCACAGTCTTTCAAAAGCAAAATACAACACAGCATAAAACATGATACATTTATCTGGGGTGGAGGCTAAGGATTTCCCGAGACTGGAAGCCAGGACTCTCCCTCAGAGCAATGACAAATAAGTTTTTCATTGACATGGGCACACAGCTGTTAGCCAATAAAACAAAGGTACATGCAAAACTAGAGAGAGATTGGGATCCTCAGAAAGCTGCAGGAGATTGTGATGTTGTTTTAAGAAACATTGTGAGAGGAGTGAAATCAAAACCTTAAAAAAATCAGAAATTAATAAGAATTAAATGACAAAGGCAAAAAAAAGGGGGGGGGAAGAGAATGAATTATAGGCAAAAGTATGTAAAATGGAATCACCTGATAAGAACGAAGACTAAAGTAATGACAGAAGAACACAAGAGGTAAAAAGGAAGAGAATATAAAGAGATTAAAATGTGGACAATGCGCTGAATCTCTCTATTTCAGAGTAAATTATATGGAGGAGGAGAGACAAAATCAACCCAAGCCATGTTTACTTTTTTAAAAAATAAAAGCATGCAATCAGGTAAAAGATAACAGTTATACTCGCACGTGTAAGGTTTTTTTTTTTTTTTCCCTCCACAAAGCACAAAAAGCAACTATTCAGCTTTTCCCGTTTTTATTCCCATTCCCATTACCAAGCCCAGCTGCTGAACATTTGAATTGAAGATCATGAAACCAGGCCAGCAGCTAATAAAAAAAAGGCAGAGCCAAGTTGGCCCTCTGCTGGTGGAATCATCTTACGGCATCCCGGAAAGCAGAAAGCTGGAGTTTCTTAAGTTTCTGCTTTAACTTTCAGGGTCAGGAATGGGACAAAAGATTTGGAAGGTTTAGCAAGGAGGCCTTACTCGGCGCTGCGCCTCTTTGCCCCCAGTAATAGATTAGAAGATAAAGACAGCTGTGTGGCAGCATCAACAGCCCCTCACCCCTGCTAACATTTACCAACATTTCTTCGGTGAACCTGTGTCACAGCCTAGGTATCACTCCTATCTTTGAGCTCACAGCTCTGTTGCCAGTGAGCATCCCACAAGTCAGTTCTCAGGGAGTAGGCTCCAAAAACTTCTTGAGGCAAGGAAATAGCCATAATGCACTCTAGTCTGGGACAGGCTGAGGAGGGCCCACAGGGCTAGAAGGGTTTTCCCTCCTGCAGTCAGGGAGGGGAGTCTGTCCCTAGCACCCCTTTATCTCTCTTCATCTGGGGCCCCCGAGCACCAGCAGACAGATCTGTGAAACCTGTTCTCTTCCTCAAAAGGAGATGCAGCTAAGAATCTCCCAAAGTGGCAAGAAACCAGCCTTAGCCTGGAGCTTAGGAAAGAATAACCAGTGTCCCAAGAGGCCTTTCTTTCCTTCCTGGGGGCGCAGCTTGTCCAGATACAGAGAGAGCTCTACCAGGGCAGCCAAAGGAACAGGAAGGAAGCCCCATTCTCAACTGTTCCTTGGAGAAGTCAGGCCTTTTGGCTGCAGAATCTGGGACAGCATGTTTTATTTTCAACATAACCATCAAAGTCATAGACAGGGCAAACGCATTCAGCCTGTGTACACTGTGAGCCAGAGTTAAGCTGGGACGTCCCTGAATCTGTCTCCTAGGACCAGAACTGCCTCATTAAAGGGATAAAAGATGATATCTGCTGAGCTGGTGGAAAGTGGTGGCTGCATTTTTATTAAAGTCTCTGCTGCAGCGGGCCCAGTCCCCAAAGGTTCATATTCCAAGAATCTCCACCCCTCTGCCTGGAGCATGTAAGTGATTCTCTGTAACTCATTAAGGTAAAACAAAAAGCTTTCTATTGTGCTTTTCGCACAGGAGTGATGTCGTTGCATAAAAGCTACATGTTTCCTCTCTTTGGCCTGAGGCTGCAAAGATAAAACTGCCCTCATAATTTATAATAGGGGTCCCCGGAGCAACACACACGGTTGACATGGATGGCCGAGTCTTGAGCAGACTCATAAACGGCCATGGCCCAGCACTGGCAATTCCAGAGCCTGACATTTTAGGTATGTTTCTGGTAGGAGCAAGCCACCCCATCCGGAAGACCATCTTGCCTAATCACATACCTTCTGGCCTGTGAGAGAACCACCAAAGCACTCAGCGATCTTAGGCTAACCCCCAGTACTGCAATTACAGGGCACTCTGTTCTCATCTTGACGCCAGGGCAAAAGTGAATCTAGCCATGCCATGGCCTCATGGATGCATGGAGTCCCAAGCATGGACCTTAGGGTCCTATATCAGATCCTGGACCAGAAAAACCAGAGGAAATGACAAACCTCTCCAGGAAAATGGGTGTTTGCAGCCACAGTCCGCAAGTGGGCAACTCTCGGGCCTGCAGAAAGGCCCTTCGCATGCCCCACTCCCCCACCCAAGCGTTCTGCTCTCTCCTGCTTTCTTGCTGGCCCTTAACCCACGTCCTCACATCCGAGGGGCTCAGTCCCCCGCTGACGTACAGCTCCCTACCTGAGGGTGGCGCTCTCCCCCTGCCGGACCGTCACGTTGTCCATAGCTTTGGGGAAGGTGGCATCTCCGCTGCGCACGGGCACTCCTGTGGGTACAAGGAACAGCAGCCTGAGAGACACGACCACGAGGCACTTCCAGGGCAGGAACAGGTACCCACAGACCCCCATCCTCGACAGCCACAACTTCCCAGAACTCCGGCAGCGGCGCGGTCCTCGTCCCCCGCCCCGCACACCAGCGGGTCTCGGGTTGTGGTGTGGGGAGATGGGAAAAGGATGGAGCAAGCCAGAAGCAGAGAGGGAGAAGGAGGAGAAAAGAGTCCAGGCTCTCCGGAGTCTAATGATTCTTCCTCAAATCCTGCCTCAGCTTTCCAGCCTAGCAGAACCAGATGCCCCCTCCTGCATCCAAAAAGAGCTTTCTTGACGCTTCCCTGGGGAGGGGGGAAGCAGCCGGGAAGGGAGAGGAAGAAGGAAGGTGCAGGGATGAAGGTCACAGATTGCTCTTTCTCTGCCTCTCTCTTCAAGATGCTACTTTAAGATTCAGTTGGGCACGTTCTGCAGAGTCTGGCATCAAAAGTTTATAACCCAAAGAAGCAAGGCAAGTGTCTCTGACATAAAGGAGATGTCCTAAAAGGCTGCTGCTTCAAGGAGAGGAGAAAAATGTTTTATTAGCTCACACACATGTACAGATGTATTTATAGACCAGCCCGAGTCTCGAATCTGGAACCCAAAGGCGGCCAAAAGTTCCAGCGCGGGGACGTGGCCGTCGCAGCCCGAGGATCCGTCGGTGCCGTGGGCGTCCTCCACCGCAGCCCGGGCGGCGACTGGTGGCCAGCCCGGCCCGCGTCGCCAGCCCGCGGAACGCAGCCCGGCGCAGGCGGCGGGCGCACGGGGAGCTGGCGGACCGCGCCCCCGCCTCCTCCGGGGACGCGGCACGGGACGCGGGGACGCGCGGACGCCACGCTCAGCGGCCGCCCCCGGCCTCCGCGCCGCCTTCCTCCCGGGAGCGGCCCCGACGCGCGCGGGCCCGGACCGCCGGGGTTGTCATGGCAGCAGCTCCATCACTGACCGCCACTTTCTCCCGGGCTGGCTGCGAGAGAGCGGGCGGACTGCGCGCTCATCCCGGCGGGCGGGCGCGGGGAGCGTGCGCCCACCTTAACCCCTGCCTCTCCGCGCCACGCCCACACGGGCTGTGCCGCTGCGCCGGGGTGAGGCGGGCGCCGCAGCTGGCTCCACTCTCCCCCAGACATCCGAGCCAGGCGAGAGGATGCCGCGCCCCTCCCGGTCGCTCCCCCTGCAAGAGGCGGGTGGAGGAGGGAGGAGAGTGAGGAAGAGGGAGTTCGGGATGGGGTGGGGGGTAAGCAGCAAATGGAAAAGTGACACTCGCACCTTTCCTCCCCTTGCCCAAACAGAAGTTGCCAGACCCTGAACATCATTTCCCCGGAGGTAGCTAAACCGGTGTGTGCAGGGTCACCACTCTGCCGCCCTTTGCCACCCGGCCAAGCTACAGTCTTATGGCACGGTTCCCCGGAGCTTTTGTAAAAAGATGAAGTATGCTTTCTGCTCAGATGACCCACCTCGGAGCTACTCATGGCTCTAGACCTGCTCGCTCTCTCTCTCCCAAACTGGCAAATCTGAATTTCTTCTTACTGCACAACATACAGAATAGCCCCAAACCTACTCCATGCTCCAGTTATCTTACTGTAGAAAAGCAAGAGATGGGAAAACACACGGAGAGCCTAAAGAGTGTTGGGGCTGATTTTCATAAACTCCATCTATAGCTTTATGATCACACGAATTGGCCCCACAATGGTATTGGGAGGATAGGGCATTGGGGAATAAGGTATCCTTAAAAGCCAGCCTATCAGTTTCTTTGAGGGCTTAGATTAATTTCTTTCAGTTCTTAACCTGAGAGCTCAGGATTTCCTTGGGCCTGTCCTATGGCTTTTCTCCTGTTCCTTCTAGCAGAAGCCATCTCATATAAGCGTAGCTTATCCCCTATATCATAATTTAATGGTTGCTATGTACATTTTCTTTTCTGTATTCTTTCTCAGATCCTTTTGTTAAATTAGGCAGGGCTCTGAACAATGGAATTTAATTCAAAATAAGCTTGAAATTCTTATTCATTACTTTAGCTGTTTAAGGATACAAAGGCATCCTACCTGCTCTCCATTATGGGTGACTGAGCACTTATGTATACTGCCCCATCTTCCCTTGTAAAATGGGAGCCCACATACATTTTTAGGTCTAAAGTTTTTAATGAGAGCATCACACCTCAGGAAGAAAGAATACTGGTCACTAGTCATGCTATGTATGCTTTATCTCTTTTAACATAGTGAAAAACACATATTGGCTCCTTTCCAAAAAAGAGATATTAATAAAGACAGGCATTGGGCAGAACATTCATCCTAAGCTCTTGGGCTACAAGGGTGGAAGGAGAAAAGATGCCTGCAAGAGAGACTCAGCCCTCAGAGAGCAGCCAAACCACTTTTTTGGAACCACCTGCCAGTTTCAATGACACACATCTTTCCTTAAGATTTGAGTGTACCTGGGTTTTTTGTATACACATTGTGCCTAATCCTCTAAACTCTGAGATGCTCTTATCCATTATCACCAGACTGGAAATGCTTTTTTTAGTGCTTTAGCCTGACTGAAGCTGAGAATGTGAGGCTGTGCTTATGATTTTCTTCAGCTACAGAGTTTGTTTCTTGAGCATTGGGGGATGGTGGCATGGGGTTGGGTCAGTCTGCCATAGGAGTGACACAGCTCTTGCCACTTGGTTGTAGTGGGCTCAGGTGACATTCTCTTCTCATATATCTGTTGGTTTGGTCCTAGTGCTCCTCAGGAGATGCAAATGGAGCACTCGCTAAATGCTAACTCAGTCTGTGAAGGATTTCTTGAAATGGGACAAATTACTGGGGAAGAAGTCCAGCTGGGGAAAGAACAGAAGGGATGAGAAAAGAAGAGAAGCAGAGGTAGGTTGAATATTATGTATGAAAATCTTTCTTTTGTAGAAGGGATAAGTATCCAATTTTTTTCTGGACTGGATCCCCCCAGCTACAGGTATCTGGAGTCCTAAAGCACAGGGTCTAGTCCTAGTCCTAGTCCTAGTCCTAGAGAAGGGTCTTCCAGTAAGCTGGCTACCTAGTTCAATACTTAAGGGTAAATAAATGACTGAACTGAAGGGTTATTGAATCAGAGAAATAACTGCAAAGGTCTAATATTTATGCTAATCTTTACCAGTTTATAATTTCATGGGGGAGAGTCCATTCACGTGTAATTCATTCATTGCTAGGGACCAGTATTCCATTTATAGAATAGAAAGCCAAACCAATTTAGAATGGGAAAGAGAACAGGGGGTGAGGTTCACAATAAACAAGGATAAAGTGGTTTATATTGGGGGTTTTCTAAGGAATGTTTGGTTGAGTACCATGATGGGGGGACTCCCAGCTAAACCCCTCTTGAGTGTATATCCACATATATGAAGACAAATATCTGAGGACAAAGTAAGAGTACTGACTAGGCGCGTTGATTCTGAAGTTAGATGGTCTCTTTGGATACTGACTCCGCAACCCTTCAGCTATGTGAGTGGTACCTAACAATACCTATCTCATGGGGTTTGAGGAGGCACTTGAGATGTCCCCAAGATTTTGTTTTGAGGTCTGGTGTGTTTACAGACACAGAGACAGCTTCCTTGAAAGAAAAGTTTATTACTTATCATTCCCAAAGGAAGAGGGCACACCATGTCCTGCAGAGCCACGTGAGGAAACACCCACCTGGTGGTGGGGGGTGTGTGTGCGGTCAGTGTCAAGAAGCAGAGGAAGCCAGGAGAAACCAAAGGCCCAGGGCCTTGGTTGCAGCACCTACAAGAAGGAATGGGTGAAGCTGGGTAGGTAAGCTTAAGCAAGCTTAGGCTCAGATTATTTGAGTAATTGTGGCAGACCCTGGGCTACTGGTCTCTAGTGTTCCTGGGGTGAGTTAAGGCAGAGGAAATAGCTTGCTGTGTGGCAGTTGGATAAAGAAGGTGGTTGGGGATGTGGCCCCTTGCTTGTTTGGTTTACCTGCAAAAGGTACGCTGAAGACAAGGCGCTTGCTAGCTCCAGGAATTAACTAACCCTGGGCGGGGCTGTCTCTCCAGAATTAGCAAGCCTACCAGATGTCAAAGCATCATAAAATACAGAAATTTTTTAAAACATGATTAATACAGGATGCCAGTTAATGAGGTGACGTGTTACACTCCACATTGGAAGTATTTCATAATCATAAATTATGATTATATAACATAACTCCCACTTTCCCATGATAACAACTTGTGACATGTGGAAAGACATGAGTGAGAGATTGTAAGTGCCCCATATCCAAACTAGAGCTTTGATTCAGATCTACAGACATCTTGATATTCAAGATGATTTATAATAGAAAAGGCAGGCATGGATCCAGTGCAGGGCAGTAACTTAGGAAAACTTAAAGCAGGGAGGGGATGTGAACTGACTGAGAGGTATGGATTGTGGTTGTCAGGTACAGAATGGTTTGCAAGGGGACAGAATGGAAGCAGGGAGATTTTCAAGAGTGGAACAGGAAAGAAATCATGGCAGTAGTAATGATGATGGAGAAAAATAGAAACGTAAGGTGTGTATCCTGGATGCACAGTTTAGGACTTTCTGAGAGTTTGGATGTTGAAATTGAGGAAGATCAAGGGACTGAGGATGACTCCTAAGTTCTGGCTGGTAACCAGGTGGTACAATTTCCTGGGACAGTGATGTCTCCAAAAGGAATAGATTTTGAGAGGCATAGTTTGAAAGAGTGAATAAAAAGCTCCATGAGACAGCCAGATGGAGATGTTAGGTTGGCAGTGGGAGAAAGGAGTCTGAAGCTTACCGTACAGGACTGAGGACAACACTAGCATCTTATCAAAAACCTGCTTCCAAGCTTACTGTTAAAGAAAAAAAAAAAGTGGTAAAATTCATTCAGGGTGAGGAGCATGCTATTCCATGGAACTCTCATCCTGCATCTACCTCCTCCCCCCACTTTTGATCATACATTAGAAATAGTCCCCCTTATCTTAAGCTTCAGAACCTAAAGTGATTTCACTGATTTAATTTGTCTCTTAGTAGATTTCCTCTGCTTAGCCACATCTCAGCTTTTGAGAGTAGATTCTAGGATTGATTGAGAATGAGACCATGAAGTTATCAGTACGTTTTTGGGAAAATGCTGCTTACTTACCCTTAAGAAGTGTCCAGTGATCCAGGTTTAAGCCATGCATCTCCCATAACTTATCAGCCATAATCTAGGTCAACTGAAAGCCCCTCTTCTATAGCATAGTAAGATTAGAACAGGGACAATGGGTCCATCTGAATCCTACCTCTAAGCACTTCTATGTGACTTCACAATTTCCTTAACTTTGCTCATCCTCAGTTTCCCCATCTGTAGATAGAGGAACTGATAGTAATAAGTACGCACAGTATTTTGAGTGTTAAATGAAACACCACATGTAAAGTAGTCAGCGTCCTACTTGGCACTCAGTAAGCACTCAATGAATGTTAGTTCTTAGTACCTATCAGAAGCAACTAATCCCTCCAATGCCACAGGTTTCTTTCTTGAAGTGGTGCCAAGGACAGATAAACTATATGGCACAATGCAGGCAAATTCCCAAGTTGTCTGAAGGTTTTGTG